TGCACAGAATGCGGGCGGGCGACCAAGCTCGGAAGGTTGTCAATAAACTTCAACTAACCATCCAGGAGGGTTCCCCTGTTTGTAAGTGCGCATGCAAGGCACCACCTGGCTGTTTGCAAAACCTCGAGCACGACGCAGGGTCTGCCGACCCATGAAACAGCACCTGTTCATGACGACGTTTGTCCCACAACCAAGGCCGACAAAGCAACTGTGCCGCTGACCCCATCCTCGACCCCATACCAACCCCGTATCACTTGCCTTCATCAAGTCGCGATGCCATCACCAAACTTCAAAAATGACGTCGTCGGGCAGCAGAGCCGCACTACGTCGGCCACGGCGTTATTATTTCCTGCAGGCCTGCAAACATGAATCCATCGCCAAAAGTCTCTGCTGCGATATCCACATGCCAGTACGAAGTCAACAAATTCCATCTCGGTGAAACTGCACGTGAGTGGGCCGGTAGCATCATCGTGCTTATGGTGCGGCTACAGCCTTCGACTAGAAGCCCGTCATTCCCTTACATGGAAGGTCCGATGTGGATCCGAACGATAAGACGACTCAACTGGGTAAAAATCTCAGCGTTCCGAAGTGGAGTAACAAAACAAGCAACTCCGACATGTTTTCGTGAGACTGCAAACCCACGATTCATGGGTGCTGGCGAAAACCGGCCGGGTGCTGTGGCTGTGGAGCAGGTGTTGTCGCTTCAGCTCATGCAACAATACCGTGCAGTGGCGGTGAGTGGATCCATGGTGAAGAAATCAATGCGGCCGCGGTTTGAGCGGTACGAACGGTTCAAGCGAAGAAAACACAGATTTCAGGGCTTGCACTATTACTTCGCTATCGAACGCGCAAGTCCAGCAGTCCAGAGCCATCTTGCAAATACTACCAGACTCCTTGCACTTTCCTCTTTGGGAAGTGCAACCGGCAGTAGCTGTTTGGCAGGAATGAAATGTACCATGGGAATCTCGTAGCCTAGACCGCCGTTGCGATCAGCCATCGCCCTGCATCGAGGCTGCATGTCACTAGGTACTCGACAGGCAGGTAAGGTGGCTTCTGACAGAGATCATCCGTGGTTGTGTAGAATACACAGTGTTTAGTCGCTTTCGGTTGGAATTCTTCCGTTTAGAGATGAGGGGAGAAATTCCGGTGGCTGATGTTGAGCGGAGAATTACCTGCAGCATGGAGAGTGGACGTGGGGATGCACATGCTAGACTGGTGCGAGATCACTTGTCGAATTGTCGACCCGTGGAAGGCGGAAATACTGATACGCACTCAGAAACATCCCATTGCAGCGGGATGTGTGGGAGTGACTTCTCGCGCTGGCGCTGCAGTAGAGCGCGCAACTACATTGATCTGGCAGCTGCGACTGTCTACGATAACGACGATCATATCGTCGAACTCATGGTGCGACAGTTGAGTCCACCAACATCTATTTCGCCATCTTTGATAACGTTTGCGACATGCGTTAGGCGTTCGTTACACAAATGCAGATCCCACGATGGAGGGGTAAATATCTGCGAAACCTCTCCAAGGCTCTCTTACAAACGCACAGTCACCACTCAGCATGCCAGGCAGTCCATCACTCAGCCTTACAACCCCAGCAACTTGCACACCACAAGGCTTACACAGCGTCCTTCTAGCCCACCGCAACAAAATCCAATAACACCAGATCAAGCTTGTAGACAAAGGAAACCCTCAAAGCGGTGACTCACCGCCTGGATACTGCGTCCCAACACCGCTCACCTCCATCTTGTGCTTCATGCAGTGCGACACCTGAATGCAAGTATGCCGATCCTTCGACTTCCGTAGTCGGAGTCGGTATGCATCTGTCAGATGAACGACAACTTGCGAGGAAGCAGGGCTACGAGATGGGTGAGCCCTACAAGACGCCCTGGCCCTTCGCTTTTCTACGCCCTTCATCGGCGACGTCCTCCAGCGTGAAGCAAGTTTGTAGCCTGTTTGCCCTGGTAAACATGAAATCCGCCGAGCGGTCCATTTCTGCCTCGAAGCCCTCTCCCGCCATGCACTGTGAAAAGGCAGCGACAAAGGCGCTTCACCCAGCACTACCTAACTCTCCTTCTTCACGGTACAGAGTTCACAGCGCGGCAGCACCCCTCCGCTCATTCGCCTACTCGATAAGGCGTGATGCCAGTTAGTCTGGATGTCGTGCATATGTCACTTGTTTTAGTTTTGCCCCAATGGACCCCACGCGGGGCACACACTGCCCAGGTGTGTCCATCACATCACGAGGGCGTAGGGCGCTTGCAGTTTCCCCACGCCACACCGAGCTTGACATGTGAATTCGCCTCACGTTCGAGACTGTTTGTGCGTGCCGCGGTTATTGGTGTTGCTTCGGCATCTGAACTGTTGTTCGTTGTTTCAGTTGACGAGAGCGAGAATACTCCGCTTTCCGAGGAAGTCGGGGTCATTATCTCAGGGACGTGGGGTTGCATTTGGGGTTGTGGTGGTGGGGTGGAGCTGGTGGGTATCGAACTCCACAGTCCACACACTTTTGCCTCTTGCTCCATCTATTTCTCCAGTATGCGGTGGAGATATAGTGGGTTTTTTCAAGACCCTGATCTCTTCTTAGCTGGTTTCTTGAGATATGGGATTTTCTGGATGAAGAAGCTGGTGGGGATATGGCGTCATGGTGGAGACGCAAAAGGAAGGAAAGGGTCTCGGCAGTTACTGCTTCGAGTATACCTGTTGATCTGTGGGTATGGCTGTGTTTGTCTGAGTGTGTGTTGAGACGTGTGCTTAACTGGCTGTAGATATGAACGGCGGGTAATGGGATATCGCTGTGATGTAGATCTACTTTTACGGATGAGTAGCTCCCCGGATGATCTGTGTTTCCGTTCTTATTACACTATACTACAATTACTATCCCGTCTTTTGACTGAGTGCATGGATGATATGCTCTCTTCAGAAACCACAAGGTCAGAGCTCTAGCACAACGTACACTCCCACGGAGCATGGTCGTCCGGGCCAGCTAGCTAAGGGTCCTCGCGCATACCCCTCAATGACTGTTTGCCACCACAGATGCCATGTGCAAGCAGTATGAAACCCAGCTTCGTAGAGGCCACGGTGCTTCAGGCCGGGGCCCAGTAACCATCCCAGTTATACTTCAGTACCTCGTTACCCCAAGACGTCCATCCACTGACAAGGTACCGAGAGAAGACCTCAAGCGCGCTGTAATCAGTCGAATCCGGCAGAAAGGGTTCGAGTAACTGCTTCAGACACGGTTTGCGTGAGTGGATATCTGGCACAGCAGCAATGACTCTCCTCTTGACTGTTGGCGCGTGTGTCATTGTTGTCCACGAGTTTGGGGCTGCGCGACCTAGCAGGAGAATCTCATAGGGCTTGCGCATGGCGCTATCAATGTCGAACATGGGCTCGCCTTTGGTTGTTGTCTTGATCCATACCCACTCCTCGATCAAGCCCACGTTCCAGGTTTCAAAGAGTCCACCGGGGCCGAGCACATGTTCCCTCAGTGCTGCCTTGTTCGTGATCCAGACGCCGACCAGCGCATTGTGTTCCAGATAACTATCGATATCCATGCTCAACAGCATCTTCTTGAGGTACGGCATGCCGCCAACTTGTTCATACGCGCCCTTCCGCTTGGCTGAACGATTGGGCCATGGTGGGTCCAGCAGTACCAGGTCGAAGTGTCGTGGAAGGGTGAACTCGTCTGTAAGCTCACGGAATGAGGTACGGAAAGCATCCGACGCTGTGGAATCGCTAAGGAAGAATGTGGATCGGGGTGGTATTGTAAAACGATACTCAGGACCCAGCTGAGGAGGTTGCGACGTATTCTCGGCGATGGATAGCGACAGGGAGTGGTGGTTGGGGTTGTGGAAGGCGCCTGTCCATGGTTCGGTTTGTGCGTCTGGCGAGACCGTTTCAGCGACCTGTGTACTACTCGCGGTCTCACGTGCAGGACAGTACGACATCATCCACTTTGGTGCCACAGTGGCCGGTTCTGCGACCTCGGAAGTCGCGCCGAGAGAAGCCATCATCTGCTGCAGATTGAATGCGGTATCGTCTTCCTTGCTCTCGCTCCATGAAGCCCACACCTTCATCCGAGATTCGAGGTCTTTTTCGGAAATTTGATCAACGTCCATTTCTTCATCTTTCCCGCGGAATGGTTCCTGGGGCATCAACTTGCGCTGTGTGCACCATGGCCCTGGAACCTGTGCACGGATTTGGCCGAGTGCATGTTCAGCCAGAATTTTGTACCGCAGGTCGTCAAGATGCAGAGACTGGAAGTCGTGTTGGGAGGCTTCTGCCACTGTCGCATGGGGCGAACTACGGTGCCCGACATGCTGCGTGCTCACCGCGCTTCGTGCTTGATTCTCGTTCGCTCTAGGTTTCTTCGCTTTGGGTCGGTAGTCCTCCTTCGGTTCGATGGGCGCTTCCAAAGGCGTAGTAGAGAGTAGCACTCCCTCGCGGTCGCCTTGTGCTGCTGCGATTGACGTCGGTATGTCGATCAATATGACGTCCACCTCCGCATTCTGGTAGATAATTGGATTTGACGAAGCCATGATGAGAGATGATCGAAGAGAGAGAAGAGTAATGGAAAGTTCCTACCAATTCTATAGTCTTACGTCATAGCTGCTCCCCGTTTGCAATCTCAACGACAACACGCCAAATGGTCATCGCGTGCTATCATAAACACATTTCGCGTAGAATATCTGATGTGAGATCTCGTGATGTTGTCGTGGTGTTGCATGGAAACCATTTCCGAAGGGTAGCGTCGGATGAATGGTGTGGGCGAAGTACCGGCCGAAAGCAGCAGATCAGCCTCGGTAAACGTCATCGCGGCATCTCAAACACCAAACCACACAACGGCGTTGCTTTCTAATCCACCCACACGCGACCACGCCCCGCCCCCAGAACACGCGTCCTGTCATAGCCACGCGAAACGACGACACCGAAGGTAGCGCAAACACACAAACACACGATATTCATGTCGCGGTAACCCCACGCACGTCTGTTCTGGAATGTCCACGGATCTCCTCCGCTATGACGGAAGCAAATCGAATATCATGACCACGACTGCGGCGCAAACAAACAGCGCAGGCACTACATTACCCGACCATGACGCCGCCATGACGGCAAAGAGGGAAGGAGGCGCAAATATGGAGCCGAAGAGGCAGAAGATGGATAGGAACAGCATGGAATATCTGATCAAGAGTGGACTGGCGGGTGGATTCGCAGGATGTGCTGTATGTCAAGAATCCTCTCTACGCGGAGAGATTGGTTGAATATGATACTAACAGTGTATAGGCAAAGACAGTAGTAGGCCCCCTCGACCGCGTCAAGATCCTCTTCCAAACCCGCAACCCCCAATTCGCAAAGTACGCCGGCTCCTGGAGTGGCTTCCCGACCGCAATACGCGACATCTACGTTAGCACCGGCGTGCGCGGGCTCTTTAAAGGGCACTCGGCAACCCTCCTCCGCATCTTCCCCTACGCGGGCATCAAATTCCTCGCCTACGAGCAAATACGCGGCCGCATAATAAAGAACCAGGCGCAGGAAACACCCACGCGACGATTCCTCTCGGGGAGTCTAGCAGGCATGATGAGCGTCTTCCTCACATATCCACTAGAAGTCATTCGGGTGCGCCTTGCCTTCGAGACCAGCGAGCAAGGCCGTAGCAGTCTCGCAACCATTGTACGCAAAATCTACGCCGAGCAGGCACCACGCGTATCGCAACCGAAGAACCCCATCACCGCAACCGCGACACACGTCGTCGAAAAGGTCACACCGCGCTCTGGCCTCTCCAACTTCTTCCGCGGCTTCACACCCACACTACTCGGCATGATACCCTACGCAGGCGCTTCCTTTCTCGCTCACGACTCCATGTCCGATCTCCTGCGCATACCCGTTCTCGCTCCGTATACCACGTTACCGAACACCTCGCGCGAGGAATCGAGTACCACGAGTCACAAACCCGCGCAGCTGCGGTACTGGGCTGAGCTGACGAGCGGCGGTATCGCAGGCTTCTTTTCACAAACTGTGTCGTACCCTCTGGAAGTTATACGGCGGCGCATGCAGGTTGGTGGTGTCGTAGGCGATGGACACAGGCTTAGTATACCGGAAGTCACGAGGAGGATATACATGGAGCGGGGTTATAAGGGATTCTTTGTGGGATTGACGATTGGCTATGTCAAGGTCGTTCCCATGGCTGCCGTCAGCTTCTATGCATATGAGCGGGGGAAGTACTATCTGGGTATATAAGAGTAGGATCCTCCATAGGCACAAAAGAAGAGGGAAGAGATCGTTGCAGGAGCAAAGAAGCGACCCCTTAGCGGCAATCGCGTGCGCTTGGTGAAGGGTGAAGACCTGTGACACAGCACTGTCATAGCAATGTCTTATCAAAACTATTAGCATTCACCACGTCTATGACAGTAGTAGCGCGAGAGTGTCAATAACAGGGATGCAGGAACTCGTCAGCGCAGTCCATGTAAGCCGGCAAAAAAGATGGGCAAAAAAGAAGGTCAAAAACATACAACAGCGGGGATTCGCTAGTGGTCACCCACCTAACTACTAATCCGCCGGTATCATGCTTGTATATGGCTGAGCGGACGGGAAGCCTAATTTTCATGATCCTATGGTCGTATGTGGAAGAACTGGTACGTTTGGGCAATGTATAGTCAGTGACACCGGATAGTTGCGTGACAACGCGTCTCCATCAGGTCCTGTCAACTGTGCACCGCGAAGCTATGTTTCCATATATGCTGCAAGTTTGCTTTCGTCTATATCTACCTGACATGTATTCCCTAATACTCTCGCCTTATTCCAAGCTACAATCATTCACATCATAGCTGAGCCATGACCTGCTGGCCATCATCCCATGAAGGAGGAATCCCAAGAACAGTCATGACCCTCGCAGTATTGCAAAATGGCTTCTGCGCACTCTCCCCACATCTCTGCTTGTACTCCTCAGCGAGCGCACTGAGGCTCGTATCCTGGAGTCTCTCAATCCGTTCAGCGGTGGTGCGGAACGGTTGAGGCAGTGGAGGGAATGAAGCGGCAATGAGGGGCTGGCTGTATTCGAAACCAAGCGACTCCAGAACAAGAGGCGTGATGTGAGCAGCTGAACCCAACACACGAGGCATACCGTGTCCCGCAAATCCGGCGGCAATAAAGTGACCCGGCCGCTGTGGCACCGTACCAACAAACGGAAACGCGTCTGCAGATTCGGTTTGCACTATTCAGTCAGCCGAATGTACTTCAAGTTCACTGATATGACATATCTTACTTCCAGTCCAGCAGCCGCCTTCGTTGACTTCCTTGCTGAGCCCCGCGGGGACTTCATCCGGCGAGCCTGCGACGTCTGAGGCACCCCAAGATTCGTAGAATGCAGCTGCTCCGGCAATCTGCTGATCCTCTTTATCGTTGGGAAAGCAATCTCCTGGCTTGTGGACAAGAAGTTGCCTTGCTCCTCCAATGATGATGGTGTTGTAGGGTGGAGGGAGCTGGAGATGGTAATTCTGTCTTCGTCAGCGGGCCGTCGATTGTGAAGACAGCATCTGTGAGCCTTACGTTGACCATTGAGTCCCAATGCTGGGCACCAGTATGCTTTATGAACCCCGGGGGCGCTTTAATCGCGGCAATAGCCCCTCTGTCGGGCAGTATAAGCTTACTGAACTCAGGAAGAAGATGAGAAGCCCATCTGTTTGTCGTGTGAACGACGGTTTTGGCACGAATGGTTCCGCGCTCAGTCTTGACTGTGATCCAGCCGTCGGCGTCTCGCGCTGAGACATCCATGACTGGAGTATGAGCTTGCAGATTGAGATTGCCTTTCTGCAGAACGATGCGCAGAAGCGCGTGCACCAATTTGTACGGCCATCTGAGGCGATGTCAGTAGGTTTGCGTGGGAGTAGTACGATCGAGAGGAACCGACATTTGCCCTGCAGGATGCACCACTGCAGCCAGAGCACCCTTCATCTGCGTAAACTCCTCCGCGTCGCGTGCGTCTTCGATCACTCTGCATACTTTGACAATCTCGTGATCGTCACCATGATCCCTCCGCATGTCATCAAGTGCGCCCTTGAGCCTCGTCCAGGCCTCATCGGTCATAGCAGCATCGAACGTTTCTCCGAACTTGAGACAGACCTCTTCCGCGATGTTTTCTTCCTCAGTTAGATTCTTAAATGCCGGCAGATGAGCCATCTCATGTTCGATAAGCTCCATGGCACCATGGGGGCCAAATCGTTTCGACCATTTCGCATAGCGGGAATAAGCATGCGGCCTCAATTGTCCTCCTGTTCGTTGTTAGGCATTTCTCCAAGGGGCAAGATGCAAGTCCCATTACCATTGCGTCCGGTGGCACCTCCGCAAATGTCACGAGCTTCTAGGAGAGTCACATGAGGCTGCCTGGAAGCATTTGCTGTGTACTAATCACTCGTCAGACTTAATGAGCCGACAACTCGTTGTGGTGTGGTCACGAACTTTGTTGATCCAGTAAGCTGTCGAGGCGCCGGCATAACCACCGCCGATTATTGCCACATCGGTTTCCTCTGGTAACGCCTCGCTGGAGCGGAAGTTGCGCAACGGCGATTTCGCAGCCTCGATCCAATAGGATTTGGTGGGGTTGGCAGTTGGTAAAACCATGTTGAGGAATTGAGAATGACAGACTACTTTCTACAGCTGGACAGAGAGCATGTTTCGCACGGCAATCCACATAGTACACGCTTTCATACCTGTAGTCCATCACCGCTATTTCGCAAATCGACCGGGTACCGTAATTAGCCCGGTCATCGACCTCGGGAGCTTACAACTTCGATCTAGAAAGTTCGAGCTCGAGAGACAATGATACCGGTCCGGAGACCTGCTGAAACTACTGCTCATCGTTATCGTACCTAGGTACCTGTGTGTCAGTGGCAGAACCGGGTAAGCGAACCGGTCGCGATCCGGTCGCGATCGATAACCACCTGGGCACCTGGTCCGAGCGCTGCGGCAGTCACCTCGACCGGGCCGGCCTTCTATTAGCCACTGGTACCGTTACCTAGGTACTCACGAGTGCTAAACATGAGAGTACTGGGCATGACGCAGGGGCCTGTTCTCCATAGGTCTTTTACTCCTTATGCCAAGGCGACACATCTTCCATCAACCACTGTAAAGCTCTTTGATTTTGATCATCACACACCACATCGACAGTCAAAATGACACAGCCTCCCAAGCATGTCGTTTTCGACGTCGTCGGCACCTGCGTATCCTTCGACGCCTACTACGAACGCATAGACTCAGTCTTGGGTACAAAACTTCGCGAGCACCACATAACCGCGCAACACTTCGGATACACCTGGCAGACAGCTGCTGAGCTGGAATTCACCTTCTTGTCCATCTCCGAAAGCTACAAGCCTTATAAGGATGTTCTCCGAGGACTATTCTACCGCACCCTTAGTCTTTGTGGCATCGCCGATCCTCGGGCTGTAGCCACTGAAGAGGAGCGGGAACAGTGCATCGAAGGCTATTCCGCTTTGCAGCTGCGACCTGGCTGTCGGGAGACGTTCCAGTTGCTGCGCGACAACGGCTTTACCGTCTGGTGCTTCACCACCGGGGACGTGCAACGAGTCAGAGGTTATTTCGAGCGCGCCGGTGTAGACATGCCGTTGGAGAATTTTGTCAGTTGCGACAACTTAGGCGTGGCTAAACCCGCTCTCCGCGCCTATGAGTCTGTATGGAATCGATTCGGAGGAAACGATGTGAAATGGTTTGCTGCCGCGCACATGTGGGATGTCGCAGCGGCCACAAAAGTCGGTTTTCGTGGAGCATGGAGCTCGGTGTACGAGAAGGAAGCTTGTCTCGACGTTTTTAGTGATGTGAAATTAGAGGTGGTGGCTGGAGGTCTCATGGAAATGGCGCAGCAGATTGTAGAGAAGTCTCAATGACATCAGTACTACTACTGCGTCTATTCCAGCCCGTAATGACATTAGTAAAGAATGTTCGTTTCCACATGCTCTTTGTCCGCTCCCAGCATTTTGCCCGAGGTTCGCCATTATCTTTTGTGAGGATGCGGGTATCGCCGTCTGTGATAAGCCGGGCTTACTACTAACCGATAACGGACAAGCTTTGTGCGGAGCGTTCCTGCAGGAGGCTGGACGGCTTCAACGTCGCTGCATTGCGCGTCATTCGGCTGTCTTATCGCTCGCGCTTCAGTGAGGGGGCGTCGTTGACAGCTGTGAACTCACAACGTATGCTAAAAACCCTTCCGCCGACTCAATCCCTTCAGCTCATACCTAGTCAGCTTGAGCTATGGACGTCGAGCCTCCAAGACCCACCAAGAAGCGTCATCTAGCGGCAGAAGAGCGACAACGAGCAGTTCGCGCGTAAGACCCACCACTGTCTCGCCGAAGAACGTGAGGTAGAGTCTTGGCTGACAAGCATCGCATAGGTGTGATGAGTGTCGCCGTCTCAAAGAGAAATGTGAGGATGGGACACCTTGTAGACGCTGCCGCCATCTGCGCCGACCGTGTAGATACAATGTTGCACCTGCTGCAGTGGACAAGCGAGGACCGGGCCTTCTCGCCTCGCCCAATGAGCTGATGGACCGCATGCGATGCATGGAATTCATAATCAAACACCATTTTCCCAATCTCGCTCTGGACATCGTCTCTCTACAACGCACGTGCGATTCCCTGTCTTCGCCCACTCCACCACGCGACCAGAACGCGATCGTACCCGAGTCTATCGAGCTGTCGGCGAATGCCCAAGTGTCTGACAGCCCTGATATTGGAGACGAGGATTGTACCATTGACCGCGTAGATGGCACGACAGTCCGTACGTGTTTCGTAAACCCCCTCGTAATGGCTCAGGCACACTGACGAGAGCTTTTGTCGCTGTGCAGATTACTCAGGCGAGTTCTCTCATTGGAACTTTTCTATGCACATCAAACGCAATATAGACGATCTTATGGCCAAAGCCAATGTGCAGGTACGTACTATCAGCCTAGTCTATTCCTTTTTGCTCACCATCGCTGTCAGAGTTCAGAAAACGTAACGCGGGTACCAGATTTCATTCGCGTCGGCGAGGCAGATCCAGCATCGACTTCCATCTCGGACGTTCTTGCTGCCGTGCCACCCCGTCCGGTTGCCACATTCTTGACCAATGTCTTCTTCAATCATGCCACCAGCGTCTACTACTATGTAGACCGACGCTGGTTCGACGACATCCTAGACAACATATATACCAACCCCGTCTCATTACGCTCCAAAGATGTTACTGCAATATGTGTAGTACTGATGGTGCTGGCAGTCGGAACCCAATACGTCCATTTAGAATCGCCCGATCGCCACAACACTTGCAGCACGCGTGTTGCAACGGACGCCGAAGTTCAGAGTAGTTGGGAGCTTGAGATTGGATCCGGCTTTTACCGTCAAGTCGCAAAGCTGCTTTCGGAAGTCATCCACGCTGGCTCGCTGCTCAGTGTGCAGGCACTTTTGCTTCTCGGCCTATATTCCTTACCCATTGATGCATCTGGGCTGAGTTACATCTATTTAAACTTGGCTATCAAGGTAGCCATACAAAACGGAATGCACCGAAAGGTCTCGCGCAACGTCCTTGATACGAGGACCAAAGAAATCAGGCGTCGCATTTGGTGGACAGCGTACTGCATGGAAAGGTTTGTTGGTTCTCGACTGTCCGATACCACCTCGTCCTCCTGCTCACAGATTTGACCTACTAGAAAAATTGGTATATACCACGGCCGCCCAATATCCATAGTACGATCCGACATCGATGCAGATCTACCCCAGAGATCTGAAGCAAACCTCATGGATGACGACCGTTTCGATGCTCAAGGTCTCCTGGAGTCGATCGAGCTCACAAGGCAAGCTGAAGCCTTCCACCACGAAATGTAAGACCAGACCAAGACTTTGTTAATACACAGAAATAGAACCCAGTTAACTAACTATGTATTGCTAGATCGTGTCTCCGCACATGTGCGAACGCTGAAGTCGGGGTGATTTTGGACCGTATCAAGCGCATGAAGGCGGATCTGCGAGGGCCCTGGTCGCCTCCTCGCGGGGGTGTATTGTCGCCACCCGCGAACCACGAAGCAGAACTACCAAAAGCTCGCGCATTGGTCCATTCTCGACTGGAGTGCTGCCTCTTGCACATGTTTATCGGACGACCCTTTATCCTCGCGCACCGTCACGCGCGGACCAATGCACATTCCAAGGACGCCAATGCCGCATCCCCAGAAGTACGCCAGAGGAAAGCATCCGAGTCCCACTCACAGTGGGACTTCTTGGTCCAAGACTGCGTTGCGGCCGCGAAGGAAGTTATCAGCACATGTCAAATCATGCAAACGGGCGACATGGGCCTTGCAAAGTCGTCATATGCCGAATACAGTTCCTGCCGCGCGTCCCTGCTGGTCTTGATCGCCTATAGCATATGTTACCGGACGAACGAGTTCGCAAACACCCTACAAGTAGGTCTTCAGGCGATCAGAGAGATGGCTTCGGCGGGCGATTCCGCGCGTTCAGAAGTGTCGCTCCTAGAGACACTGGAAGCGGCGCTGCATCGACTTCACGTTTTCAATCCATTACCCAGTCAACCTGCGGTCACGGAAGCAAATGATGCAGCTGAAGAGGGCTACAACGGTCTTCTTAACTGGTATAAGAAAGCAGAAAAGTCCACAGTCCCTCGTTTTGGGCCTCCAGCATCCGGACATGCAAATGTACAGGCAGCAACGGCGCAGGGCCCAAAGATAACACCTAACAGAACCGATGCAACAGTGGATACCATGCCAAGCTATGTACCCCTTGATGGCTATCCGTTCGATTTCGATCTACTTAACTCGGATGGAAGCGAGGCGTTCTTCACCTCAGACTTTGGTGACCATGGTAACGCAGAGAGGGAGTTCTTTGAGAGCCTTTCATGGTTACCGAAGTGACGTTCTGCACAGGCTAGAATCGCCAATGTATGAGCGATGAAGCGTATCAATTCAACTCTTTTCGCTAACAGAGTGCGCGTAAAAGTCAGTGGATGATTCATCGCATTGCAAGAGTGGACAATTCAGGTCCCAACTCGTCTTATCTCATGGTCACAACCGTGCTTGAGCAGGCTGGCTTTCCGCTATCTGTTGCCACATCTTGAGAGACACATGTTCTTTCTGCTGGTACCATCTACTCCTGGTGATGCGGTACGGCACAGGGAGATCCACATTCTCTGCGTCACCCGTGATGACCATGGAAGCGATGGCTTTTGCACAGAAAAATATCTGCGGCATACCGTGCCCGCTGAATCCTGCGCACATATACTGGCCGGGTTTCCCGCAAACTGGCCCAACATAAGGGAACCCGTCGTTGGAATAGCCCATAACTAATATGGAAGAAGATGAGTCAGTTCCGAAACATTCAATCGTGGGCGCTGGTGCAGACATGACACTTACTACCGGTCCAAAGCTCTTCTGTGTGTGCACCGCTGTTCTCCCACCCGCGGAAATGCCGTTGCATGTAACCGTCAAAGTAATGTCGCGCGCCATCCATCAGTCTGCTGTCGTCGGATACATCAAACCATTCGTCCAAGTCTTTGTAGTAGTCGCGCCTTCCGCCCCCGACGATGATACTGCCGTCCGGCCGAGGAATCATGTAGTCGTACTCATAGTCGGAAAACCGCATCATATAGCTATCAGTCATTCTTGGTGCATTCTCGGCCGCCAAGCGCGCTACTATGCCTCTCACTGGGACTACTTTGTCCTTCATCTCCGGTACGAGAGCAGACGTGTAACCGTTCGTCGCATAAACGAGAGTGCTGGTCTTGACGGAGCCGCGCGGTGTATCCACGACCCAGTCATGATCTTTTGTGCCTCCAGCGGCTGCCGAGACGGATGTTACTGAGGTGTGTGTTTGCAAGTTGACACCCATAGATACCGCTTTCTCTAGCAAGTGCGCCACAAGCCGGTAGGGCCACAGACGAGCGGCGCTATATGTGTGACAAGACTTTGCACCCCATACGCCGGAAACCTATGGGCTTTGTCAGACCTCTCCAAAGAGACAATACAACGAATCGCATCAAGATGTTCATCTCCGAACACTACATACCTCTTCTGCTTCGCTTCCTGAAGTAAACTTTATTCCTTTCGCAGTTGAGATACCTGCTTTAACAGTTTTCGCAATGTCAGCTTTGATTTTATCGCGACCGGCTTCGTAAAAGCAAACATCCGTGACCCTGGTCTCTTCGAAATCGCAGTCACAATTCTCACGCTGAACAAGTTCTTTGATCGCGTCGACCTGACGGGACTCGAATGTAGCCACGTGCTCCGCAACCGCTTTCCCATGCGTCTCCAGTACGCTGGCGGCTCTTGACAAAGGATCTGGTTTCAAATGACCGCCTAGATTCCCAGAATCAGTACGTGCGATGTTGAACTGGATTCTCAAGGGCATATGATATGTACCATTACGTCCGGTAGCGCCAGAGCAGGCCTCGCGTGCCTCAAGGATAAGTATTGATGGAAGTGGACGGTCGCGACGCACACACTCTTCGACTATGTGATGCACAATCGATGCCCCAGCGTACCCCGCGCCAACGATTACAATATCGACCTGCGTAGGAAGATGTTCAGTGCTGCGATGGTTGTCGATGGGCCCAACTTGTTTTCTCCAATAGGAGGGAACAGCATCCGCCACCGGAAAAGGTTTGACGCTGGAACCAGGATGAGACATGTCCGAGATGTAGTGTGTGAATTGTATGCATGTATTGGTGGTAGTTCTACGGGAGTATCCTAAGTGCAAGGTGGGCTATGTAGGTACTCACGCTTAGTCATTCACAGGGCAGGTTCGCATCTACTGTACTTAACCCGTGGACTTGCGTACTATTGTCAGACAGATAGGATGCGTAAGCCCAGAACGTTGGTGCTTGGCTTCAAGTGGCTGCGCAAGGCGGTGATCATTAGGCAATTGCGACCGGGCCGGTCACCGGTCCGGTCACCGATAAGGTCCCAGTTAACTTTGCCGCCCAGCAAGCAAACACCCGTTCAGAGCAGCGCAATCCGGTCTAGAAGCTATTGTCCGTGTGATAGCATTTGCGGTGTTGGAAAAGCACTCCGGTCTTATCTTTCGTCAACAGCGCTGCCTCAGATGTGGGATGATCGAGCAATCCTGTTGGACGCATACATCGGCAACGGCTGCTCGCGTGCTAGAGAAGGAGTGATGCGAACAGGTATTGGAGAACGGTTCGATTGGCAGAATACAACTTTAGTGTGATGGCACAAGCTGTATCATGATAGATGTTCTGAACGACTTGATAATTGCTATCTACGGCGGGGCCCTGAAGACGCTTTCCCAGGTCCCAGCTCGCGGCACACGCGTCTGCTCTCCTTCTCTTGAGAGCCATGACACACCACAAAAGCTTCAAAAAACTTCATTCCGTGGTGACGTTACGCAACGGTCTCCTGGGCATCCTTGTGATCAACATGACCATACTAGGCACAGTAAGAACCAGCAAACCACAGTTCACATAGATTGGGACCACAGGAGCGATGCCACTCGCAGAGCTCAGACCATATGAAACTGCTTGGCCCGCCGTCTCAAACGCGCGAAACAAGCCTGCCACCCGTGAAGAATCACCCATGTCGTTGGAGAATGTGCCGAGAATCCAGTATAGTGTCAATTGCGTCCAGTAGCCGCTCACGAAGATGATAAGGTATGGCACGTATGCCCTTGCCCATCTACCAGTTTCTCTATCGTGAAAGTCAGTCTCAGTCGCACTGGGGTCTTTCCCTGTAGGATAACTCACGATCCGTAATCCAGCGCCGTTTTATTGCCGAGGTAGTGGTACTCGAAAGCGACCCAGATGAAACAACCGGTTTGTGGCAGAATCCACAGCGAGAATGCAACCCATGCTTTGGGCCGCTGGGGCCACCGCTGGCTGTCTAGAAGTTTGCCAAATATGACAACCGACGGAATGGTGATGGCGGCTGTACTGGTCAGCATGTAGTCGGCCGTTCCCAAAATCCATACTTACGGAGAAGAAAAGATGATAGAGCGCGTGCGCGGACCGAGAAGTGTAGCGAGAGATAGGTACCCATCGTCCCTCCGTAAAAGAAAGAGTAGAACGCGGGCAGAAAGATCAACCAGACCTTGTTGCTTTGTAGAGTACTCCACAGAGCTACAAATTCTTGCTTCCAAGTGACCCTGCCTGACATGGGAACCTTGCTGCCATCGCGGCGACGCACTCGGGGTGTGGGGGACAGTGACAGCGCCCAAAGAACTCCAGTGCATTCTGCTATTGGTTAGTAAATGTGCTTTTAGAGCAGATGCCTAGTATCCGTAACGTACCGAATCCAACAAAGACCAGATATGTCGCCCATGCAATGCCTCCAGCAGAGGCTCTGTCTGAGTTAGTGGAAAAGTTTATCGCACCACCGATCAAGCTTCCGGAGCTTCGCATAGCCGACCAGATGCCTGTCAGAGATAAGTGAAATGATCATACTCCACGTCGCACACAGGTGCTTACCAAGATATAACCCCCTCTCTTCTGGCCTTGGGTAGCATAGCATGGCTGTCGTTTCGCCGACGTAAAGAAGCCCACCCGCTAGACCGTTGATAACCTGGCCCCATCAGTATGTTTCTTTTGCATGGATGAGTTATGATCGTACATTGGCGGCTATGAGGTACCAGTCGACGCCGAATCTAGCATTTACATAGTACGCAGATCCTTGGAGGGGCATCGTGAGAGCCGCATTGAAGCACGCCCATTTGATCCCGATCCTATTGATGATGGGGCCTCCGAGGATAGTACTGATGAAGCTCATGGCGTAACTCAACGAGGTTGCAAGATTCGCTAGCCATGGCGTTGACAGACCGCCTCCTCCTAGATTGGATATGGCATCACCCATGGCTGGGCCAACCAAGGAAAGCCTTAATCATGTTCAGCATCCGGATGGTAGTCTCTGGGAGGATTACTCACGCTCCGAACATCACCATCTGGAATAGCACGCTCCGGTAGAAAGTCGACCATTTCCAAGATCGCAGAAAGTCGTAATCGGTAACTTCTTCCTGCGATCCGATCGCGATGTCCTCACCACCGTCATGCTCCGTGTCCTTCACTTTGGCGTCTTTGGTGTCTTTGGTCTGCGAGTAATCCATCACAAAACCTTTACTGAATCCCGTTCATGATACGCTTCTATTTTATGTAGAACTCTTGCATGCTAGAGACTATCGGCCGGCAAGCTGATTAGGAAACGGTGCCCCTTGTTTGCTCCAGATAAGCATTGCACCGGCCCGGTCTGTAGCGCGACTGATTAGACATGGTGTTGTACGGGCGACAGAGTACGTGCTTATCAAACATGGATGAGCATGGGGTAGTAGCCGTGCCCGGCCATCGCGCTCTTCTCAAGTTGCTCCGGACCTTTACACAGTCGCTATCAGCATATGGATGCTAGACACGAGAGCGAACGTTGCAACGATGCTTGTGAGCTCTAACAAAGCTAACTGATGTCTTCAGAAACACAGCCGGAAGGCAGCTGCGCGCAATAGAAGCGTTGCTGGGAGTGACGAGAAGCGCCGGTCTTGGAGTTGCGGGGTGTGGGGCTACCTCCACTCTTCTAAACACGCGCACCAATCAAGCCACGAGTATTACTGTACACCCCTTTCTTCCGATAGGCGGGAAGGGGAGGCATACAAGTTCCTAGCCCACGACCGCGAACATGCGCACAGCTAGGCGACATGTCTCAGGAGTACAAACGGCCGTTAACAGTCAATTGTGGCTACAGTGGTGGGGTGCCAAAGTGACAGAGTTGCGTTTCCGGAAACAGTAAATTGACCTCGGAACGGACGCATACTGTGGGTCGTAAAATGCGCGGATGTGGCGTATTCCTTTCACGATGTGGGTTGCTTGTAGGCTCGTTGCTTGAGTGATACTGCGCTCATCGTGGTCATTGGCATGGGGTCGAACATGACGATGCAGGATGTCCTTGCACCTACCAGGCTTGCAGGCATCTGAGCCTCATTTGCTCCCCAGGGTTGCTGTTCAGATGCATACGGTGGCCAGTCGGAGTCAAGTCTGCGTTGTGTCATCATTGTTGGCGAGCTCTAACTATGTCGGCATTGATTGAGATCGAGTCTATTCTATACAGATGTAACTGAGGAGGTCAGGCTTCGGACACTGATCGGGCCACAATCGGTATCGATTGTGGTCGTCTGCAAACTGACGCTAATCTTGAAGGCATGCTTCGGTTTGACATAAACATGCCCGCTGTTCAGATACGGGAGCTTGGGTAATAGTTTCACCAAGTCTTCCCAGAAAATACCTTCCTTACCAGCTTTGTCTGCGAACAAGAATCTCGTTTCGCGAAGATAATCCTTCGCGAGGAATACTATCGGAGCTTTGTCTTTATGAGCTGGACAGATAACCACTATTTCGGCCGTGTATCCCGCAATCGTTACGCTGAACTGAGCAGCGAGTACCAACTGGCTAACATTCTGGTCCCAGGCCTTTGGAACCAGAAAGGTCCTGTCCAGATGATCCCATGCATGCAGCGGGGCCACCGACCGCATTCGGAGATGTTCTTGGACGGGAATATGCAGGCCATCGTGACGGAAGGACACCAGGCGGGTAATCGAGTGTTTAAGGAAGGCATCCGTTGAGAGGTAGACTGATTTTATGAGCTCCTGCGCGGAGTATGTGATGATTTTGTTCGGCAGCCTGGCTAAAGGCAGCCCGCCAATGCGGCAAAACAGCCCGGGACCGCATTTCCGGAGAAAGATTCCTATACTACTGTCGTCTTTCTTCGATTCCCCGACCAAGAGGACGTAGTGTTTCGGAATGTCGGTGTAACCGCGCTCACCGTACCAGCCGTATATCTCGAAGTCGCCGCCAAGTAGGAGGCCGCGGTTGGTGACGGAGAACTCGGCTAGTTGGTGTTTGTGGACGCTCGCGGCGAATACATCCTCAAATGCAGCCGGTGAGCTTGCAAAGATCTCAACGAGGTCGTTGTTGTGATACTCCGACATGCTGTTCCAGGCGAAGATGCTGAGGTCGTTGTCGCGCTTGATGATCTCTTCTTGCAGACGTCGGAACGCCTTTGTACCCTCGCCGTAGATCAACGGCATGTTGACGTCAAAAATACCAAGAAGGCAGTACGCCATATCTTCTTTCCGTTTTGTCCTCCGTTGCGAAGCCCATGACATGCGAGCAGACACGGATTGCTCAGCTATGATGTCTCTCCGCGCGTGCGTCAACACCGCCTCGGGTATGTTTGTGAACCTGGATATGGCGGCCGCTTGCTCGTGTTTGGTCCCAACGAACTTCCATCCTTGAGCGTAGAACTCGACGATGCCTGGGGCGAGCAGTTCCTGTAGCGTCCAGCCTCTGGTGAACCATCGGCATTGGGATAGTCCTCCTTTGAGTATTGCGCCTTCGGGGAAGTCTTCGAGGTAGGCGTAGCAGACGATGGCTTGTCGGTAGTATTGGAACATGGAATTGATTGACTCTGTTAACTCTGCGCTGCTGGATTTGTCGACTGTAAATGATGATGTTGCTGTTAGCGGATATAAAAGAGCACGGCTTCCAGAAAGCTATTTTGTAGCAAGAACGGCTAATCACTCACTGTCAACGATCTTGTTAGTTGATTTCTCTTCAAAGGTATGAGCGACTTACCTGCAGCATGTATCGACCCAGAAGTATCTTAGATTGTTTTTCAAAGCCTGCTCCGCGCAGTAACGAATCTTGCGATGTCCTTCTTTTTGTTCTCCAGTTCCATCTACCATGTCGCGATAGCTGACTTCCTCGCTATCTGGGCCCCAGGTATGTGAGAGAATAGCGTATGGTGGTATGTCATCTTCGATGAACTCTACCAGGCTGAGGCGTTCATCGTCGGCGATGTGCAGGAGGCGCATTGTATGGTGAGATACGCGTTACAACTGTGAAAGAGACATGTGCATGTGTGTAAAGTATGGAATTGATTCAAGATCATAGCGCGCGGACCTAGGAGACGGGATGGACGGAGGACTAGCGCTGATGAAAGAGGTTACGGCTTGGACGCCTAAGGCCGAATCCACAATCCTGTGGCGGTGCATGCTTGGCAAACAGCCGTGCCTCGGAAGGTTATGAAATATGGAGATGTGAACTGAGAATAGATTCGTATCCCATTCTCCATTACTGGAAAATTTGAGTCTCTGGATTACCGCTTTGAGCTTTTGCGATGCGACGAGATGACAAGCCCAAAGCCACTCATAGCTCGCTCTTCCACGAATGATCCTCCGGCAAGCCCAATTGCCTTCGTTGCGCATTCAGTATGTGCTGCAAGAAGATCGGTTTGATGCTGAGTACACCAATAAGACTCAACAGCAGCATCAATATAACGCCCAAACCAACACCCAGAGCTACAGCATCCTGCTGCCTGCTCACCTTCCTGAACCACGCCTTCGTATCCTCCACAGCGATGTTCTCGTCATGCGATCGTCGCGCGCTCATCATACCCGGTAGGCCATCGAGCGAGCGGTGGTTGAACTGCTTTTGGTAGTCAGCGAGCTCTTGCTTTTCGAGCTGCTTTCGCGCCCAGTTGTCCATCGTATCCCGCTGCTTGAAGCCGTTCTCTTCGCCGTCTTCATGATCGTGGTCCACATAGGCAATTGCGTCACCCGCTGCTTCCTCTGTGCTTGCAGTCTTTCCGCTGTCGATCTGAGGCACACCGAATCCACAACTGGTCTGAACTTTCTGGATCTTCAACACGATGATAGCTCTTGCGCCCGTGACATCGACCTCATCGCCGTTCTCTGACGCCATCTTAGCGCGCAACTGTCCGTAGTATGGATCCCACTTTTCGACTACCCTTCCTTTGCAGAATAGTCGCATAATCTGTGGCGAGGGGCCGAAGGAAGAGAACATTACGGTGACACGGCCATTCTCGTAGACGTGAGAGATGGTCTCACAACCGCTGCCGGTCGCGTCCAGATAGGCGACGGTGTTCGGGCCGAGAACAGAAAAGGTTCTTGACGGATGGCCTTTTGGCGAGATGTTGACGTGATCTCCAGCCCATGGCGCACTGGCCACGAAAAACAGTGGTTGACTAGAGATGAAGTCGATGTGGTTCTCGTTGAGAGATGGGTAGAATTTGACCATGTTGAAATGACGGAGATTAGGAGCAAGTAGCGGTCAGGATTGAACGGAGTGGCCAAGGATGGGGTGCTGCTGGACAAGGTAGCCGGCAAAGATTTCGTTTGATAGATTGACTATGTGCAAGAAGGGTCGTAGCAAGTACAGGAGTTCCTGCGGGAACTGCGTTCGATGGTCGTCTGAAAGTGGAAAGGGGAGATCCAGGCTTGGAAGTCGTGATGCGTCGACTCGTCTAGTTGAACCGGGGAGTGAGAGTGTTAATGCAGTTACACTCTATCAGACGAAAGAGATGGAAATTCGATAATGTACACGTTCTTGTATGTTTGCAGCGCAATGCGTGATTAAGATTTGGAGCGCAAGAAAGCTGCGATGCACGGTAACACGGCCTTACCCTTTGCGTGCTAGCTCGAAAGCAGCTCGCGTGTCAGTGGGGGCGGGGCGCATCGCCAGAGGCGCAACGACATGCGACGGAAATCTATCAAACGCTTACATCAACACTGTCAACATGGTGCTCGCACTAGCATTGAAAGCAGAGCTGAACGGGTGAGTCTCCTCAACTTCACTTGTCCACTTTACTAAGCCCTTCAAGCGTCACCGATCTCCGCCCCAACGATACCGAAGACGCGCCCTTTTTCTACACATTCAAAGTCCAATGCACGTCATGTCGCGAAATACACCCCAACCCCGTCTCGGTCAATCGCTTCGAGATGAACGAACAGAGCGGCAGCAAGGGTGAAGCCAACTTTGTCTGGAGGTGTAAGAACTGTAAGGTCTTTCTACCCTGCGCCCTTCTCTGTACTTCAGCCACTGACATTACCTGTAGAGAGAACATTCAGCGAACATCACAGCCGCACCTACCTCCTACGAACAAAACGACCCACCGAAGAAGACCAACATCCTCATGTTCGACTGCAGAGGCCTAGAGTTCGTCGAGTTTATTGCTGAAGGAGAATTCCTCGCGACAGGCACGGAATCCGGCACCAAGTTCTCAGGTATTGAGTTACCTGACGGCGAATGGTACGACTACGACGAGAAAGCCGGCGAGGAAGTTAGCATCACGAATGTCGAATGGGAAATACGTCGCGCGTAAATTGCGCAGGAAAGAGGAAGAGTCATACGGCCGCTTGTACAGATTGGAGCAATGTACACCAGACGTGGTATAGTCGAGCTGATAGGACAAGAGGAATGCGAAGAGGTGGCTATAGTACATCATGACGGTACCGAGCGAGTCACACGCCCAAGTCAGGAGAGGTGGTCTATGTCTACACACAATACGAAGACACATGTACATCAATGACGACAGCAATGCTCAGCAAAGACTGCAAACAGCGGTGCAACAATTTGCGTACGTTCAAACTGCACATCAAATTTTCGTGAACAGCAAAGCTATCGAACATAAGTATATTGGAAGTACTAAAAAGGCACACAACCCTACGGATATCACAGTTTTACACCCCAGCTACCAGCCACAATGAAGTAGCGACGGTGGAATCTACCTCCAAACTCTACCTACAAAAACAGCCACAAAATCCTACGTGGGAGCTACAAAATCGTCAGCGTACAAGGTCAACAAGGAAAGCCGAAGCAAACTCACCATATAAAGACCAAAACACTCAAGACCAGGTAACGACCGTAGTAGCCTTACCGAGCTTGAAGCTATCCTTCGGTTTCTCCGCCTCACGCTTGCCCCACGTCGTCTCCGAGTCCGGATTGCCCAGGGTCTGGCGCTTTTCCTTGCCCCAGGTGATAATGGTGCTTGGCTTACCAAGCTCGATGGTATCGGCAGGGTCAGTCCCATCCCTCTTACCCCAGCTGACCTCGGAGCTAGGCTTTCCCAGATCGATGGTGTCGGGCTGAGTGACTGTGTCGCGCTTCGCTGTACTCCATGTCACAACTGTCTTGGGCTTGCTGATGGTGAAGGTGTCTTTGGGTTCACTCCAAGTGACATCGCGTTTCTTGTCTTTGCTCCAGATGATCTCGCTGGTTGGGGGGCCGAGCTGCACGTCATCTGGGTTGGTCGGCTCGTCGTCGCGCTTGCTCCAGATGATCTCGCTGGAGGGCTTGCCGAGTTGGATGTCGTCTGGGTTGGTAGGGCTGAGGGTTTGTGCCTGCTCTTTGTCAGCTTGGATGTCTGTGATAATGTCGAGGTCGAATTACCTCAGCTGAAGGCACAGGTGCGGCACTGCTAACAGCAACCAACACACCAGCAGCAAGAACGGATACGAATCGGTACTGCATCTCTACTTTCGTCTGACTGTTTCTTAACGTCGAGTACTATTGTTGGGAAAAGACAAGAAATCGGTGGGGCTCGCTTGCAAGGCAGGAAATCTCAGGGTCTGGGGTTGATATATGGAAAGAGATACATGAGATCTACACGGAGCCGGCATACCACTCCATTTATACGCATCATTTGAACCAAAGTTTAGACACACTTTTGCCACTTTGTAGCTGCCCGAGGTGGTAGGTGAGTAGTTGATGGTCGAGGCTGTTGGATACGGTTCGTGCAATTTGGGTAAAGTACTTGTGCTTCCTGTTGTGGTTAGGAGATGTTTGGTCCAGCCAGCCTCAAGCGAGTATGCAGATGAAAGGATATGCGTGACTGGGGAATTGAGTGTGGGGTGATGTGAAGATACGACATTCCAGAGGACAACACTGGCTGGTGCTGCTAAGTATTTGTCCTTGAAGTCTTAGCAAGGACGTTGCAGACAAGAGAGATTGGGTGGACATCTACTAGCTTTCCAAGTCAGTGGCCAATGCTTTTCGAATGTCGTTGTAACGGTTGGGCTTTCAGTTCGTTCCATGCACTTCTTTCCCTCTCATGCTTGAACGTGTCAGTACTCAGCATAACGGCGGGCCCTGGGCGACATGCTGCTCCTAAGTTATCGTTATCGCGTCTCAAGTATACATCAGTACTTGTTACAACGACCCACGCTGCAGCTAATCTCGCTGTTGCACAAGAGTATAAATGCAGGGACTCTCAACTTTCACGACACGTTCTAGCCCAACCAACACCTTAATCTGCGTATTCGGCATCTAACGGCTTCCCTGCAGAGATATCCCTGCGTACGATGATTAGTACTCAGTAAGGGTTGCGCTGCACATCCGAGTGCCTGGAGCCTCGTCGCACCAAACGCAAAGTTGCGGCAGAGGTGCCATCTACCGTCAATGCAACATCTCCCCGATAGGAAGGGAGCAAGGGTACGTGCAACAGAGTTGCCTGGCTATTTAGAAAAACCTGGAAAAGTTGTGGGAATGCTCCAGATGTCTAGAACAAACGTCGAATGTGTCGTTCGACAAAACGTCTAGATTGTCTCTCCTGGCATCGCACTAGACAAACTCTAAGGATGAGGGCCAGCGAACAAGGTATCGTAGCGGCTAGGAGCAACGGCTTGCAAAGTCTGGAGAAGGTGCCTTTACGATCGATTGGTGACTGAGCAGCGATGAAAACGCTCCGTAAAGTGACCATGTTCCAACATCGCTTGTGGAATGATCTCCATAGTGCGCCTTTCTATCTTTAGACAGGAATGCAGCATCGCCCGATACGACTGCCTTTTTGGGCTAGATCAAAGATGTGGATATATCAAACGCTCCCAGTCATAGGAGCTCTGTCATTTGGAATAAAGATCAGGAGATTGTCGGAAGAAATGGACACGAGAGGACGAACATTTGCACACCAACGGAGGGAAGCATTCCAAACTCGTAATAACAACGAAACATGACAAACACGAAACCGCTGCCGCCCGTGCCGAAAGTCCTTTTCGAGCTGAGTTTGTTGGTGATGAGTAGCAGCAACAGTGATGTTGGTGACAGACGTGCTGAAGCGAAAAGGATAAATGAGGCTGCGAATGCATTTAATCTAAATAAACGAGCTCTCAAACAAAGAAGTCCTCGGCAGAGGAACGGTCTGGTGACACCTCGGAATTGGAACACGATAAGGTTCGTTTGGTAGCAGCTCGTCATTGTGCCAAACTTTCGGGTGTGACGGCGGCAGGGGTGAGTTGTGTTCGTGTCGGCTTTGCCAGATGGGAGATTTTCATCACAGCTGGACGAGAGCTTGATGGAACGAGATTGTTTGTTTTCATCTGTAAGTGGCGCCATCGTAGGGCTATGGTATATACACTGGTATACATGTAAAACATGGTACTGTACACAAGGCAGCCTCTAAGGCTCCGGATCTTTCGGTCTTTCTCCAAACTCCCGCTCCAACCATGACGCCCAAACCTCCTTAGGGTCGGCTGTGTTATCCGCGATATCCTCCGTTGAACCAGCTGCATCATGCGCGTCAGAATCGTCAGGCTCGCCTTGAACGAATGTAGTGTTATCGTCCCCGTCTATGCCTTCTAGCGCATCCTTTACATCCGCGTCTCTTGTGTCCTTGATGTAGGCGGAAGCGGCAATCATGACGTTATCTGCAACCCAAGCGGGAGCGAGCTGCAGTTTCTTCTTCTTTGCCACATGTTCGTTTCTTGAGGCGAGGTTGAGGATCTTCTCACGGTCGAAGCCTTCGGTAGAGATGTCTGTCAGGATCTGGTTGAAGGCGACCGTGTTGCCGGTAATGGAGCACAAGCCTATCATTTGACCGTATGCTTTGGTCATGTCTTCATGATTCACTCTAGTCTTGATGCTGCTAATCTCCCCCCAAATGTATAGGCCCCCTTCCCAGTCCGCGCGGCGGAGACAGTCGTTGAGCATTCTCGTCAGACCTTGAACGTCGAGACCCCAGCCGTCCGCTTTCATCTCGTAGTAGATGTCAAGCGCTCGGTCGAACCCTGCGAATCGCATGACACCAGTTATGAGGGAACTAAATACCATGGGTGTTGGGTGGACCTTCTGGTAGACCTTCTTTTCATCTACCCTCACGAGCCGGCCATGACTGGCTTCGTTGACGTTGACTTTGGGAGTTGCGAGCATAAGCCCGTCGCCTACACCTCTCATCCTGGCGACAAACCTCGAAAAGTCTTCAGGGTTTCCATGCCTCAGGGACGCGTAGTGATTGAGTATTTCTCGACAGGTAATCTCGTTCGGACGAATCTTGTTGTAGTTCAGGGCGGGTATCACACAATCTATGAGGTTTCGACGTCGCCACTGTCGAAAACCTACCAGCAAAGTGTTGAATGTCTGTAAGTCCGGTGAGGCCGATGAAACGAGGAGGTTGTGACAGATCTTTGCAAGCACGACAGCTTCTTTGCGGTCGTTACCGTGTACGTCGCTTTCAAACAGCTTTTGGATGCTCTGATTCATTTGGATCGTGATAGCGTAAAAGTCTCCATCCACGTCCTGATAATATTCCGGAATTCCTGGATGATCTGGGTGAATTCGAGCTTGAGCAATCACGTCTGGCGGACTATCAACAGGAATCTGATGGAGGTTTTCAAGAGCCTCTAGGATGTTTTGGCGCGCTTGCTCACGCTCCACAGCATTCATGGCTATGACGTCCTGGATCTGCTGTGACAAATTGTCGGAATCCACCTCCCAAGCCTTGTCGAATCTAGGCACATTGTTTTTGTGCAGTAGTTCGTGTATAAGGAGACCGGTGGAGAGTTCCTGCATGGCCAGCTTCTTCCACGAGTGTCGCCTTTGTAGGGCGTTTACGCGTAGTGCGTCTGGCGCCCACAAGGACTGGGGCGGCAAGTTGTAGCGTATAAGCTCAGGACCGGTATTTGTTGGGAACTCCAGAAGCTGCATACCTGGGAACCTCGAGTCGAACCGCAGGTCTTCCAGCTCAGCGTAATCGCGAATTTGTGACCGGATTTCTTGATTTTCCAAGATTGGATCCTCATCCAATTCCATGCCTACAATACGCTCCAATGCGCTCCAGTCGAAGTCGTCCGGAAGATCATCAAAGGTCAAGCCATGGTACCCATGCCCCAAGGTCACAGAATCAGTCGCCGTGTCTATGTTTTTCGCTCCGTCTACCGGCGGCCCGTCACCAGTAGATTGGGCTAGTGAGGAAAAGGCCTTCTCCCATTGTGTGTTCCGAGCGGCTTTCGCTCTCGCATCGATGGCCAGCCCCGCAGCGAATATGGTCGTGTATACGAAGGTCGACGTAGGTGTGCCGATTGCCCGCGTGCGGCGAAGAGCAGTCTGCCCGCTGCGCCTAGCGAGAGCGCCGGAGAACGAGACGCATGAGATGCATCTGCAGGTACCCGGGTTCGACGTTGCCCGGGACCAGATGGCTCGCATTGCTACCGGGGCATGCTGCGCGAAGAGTGGAGGGGCGACGAAGGACCGGGTCGCCGGCGGGGGGACGAGGCGGCGCACCGTGGTAGGCGCAATGGTGCTGCTGAGAGTAGGCAGCTACGAAGGTCCAGCTGGAGTATGGCGGCCGAACGAGTGTGACTGGAGGTTGTGGTGTCGGGGTTCCGCAATTGTTGTACTCGTCCGATCATTCGAAGAGGGAACAATTTCTTAGCGCGTCCGCTAGTCGCGTCGCTCTACATCTTGGACAGCAGGTAGGCATGGGCGTGGAAAAACAGTGGCGGCAGGTGCATGACTGATCATGATTGTGAGCTGAGTCTAAGACAGGAGAGTGCGAGTCTCAGTCATCCTCGAATGCACCTTCCACCCTGAACCACCATCTGTTGCGCGGCTTCCCCGCGGTGAAGCACGGTGGCCAATCGGCGCTACCTTTTGCCGATGACTTTCCAAAGCTGCAGGCACGACCGCCATAGCACCACGACTATCACTGCTCTACCCACCAAACTCACGGCTACCCGACAGCAAGCCCTGAGATAGAGTCGCAAACATGGCTGTAAGCTATCCTTCCTGTTCGCCAGTCACGCGCAAAGCTAACATCCACCAGGCAGTCGCACCCTTCAACCCGCGTCCTTTGCTCCAAAGCTTGTACGTCGCACGCCTTCACCTCTCGAACCACCCTCATTCGCAGAACACGCGCTAACATACGCGCAGAGTCGACAAAGACATCGTCGTCAGGTTAAAGTGGGGTGAGACCGAGTACAAGGGAAGACTCGTCTCGGTGGACCTCTACATGAACATCCAGCTCTCCAACACCGAAGAATTCGTAAACGGCGTCAGCTCCGGCACTCTCGGCCAAGTCCTGATAAGGTGTAACAATGTTCTGTGGATCGGAAAGGCCGAAGAGGTGGAACCCAAGGCGACAAAGGATACGGCCATGAGCGGTTGAGATGCCCACGAGGGCAGACACACGATGCGCGAGACAAACTGAATATCGCAATACGAGCGCTCACCGGGAGCGTGTAGAAGCTGTCTGGGCGCAAAGACCACATGCGCACGCAGTAGGAAGGCAGCAGGTGCGCTCCACGTAGTATGCGCACTGAAGATACCACAGAGCAGATAGGCGCACAATTGGAATGGGTAAAAGTCAGGATACCAAGCTTCGGTTGTGAGGCGCTACAATGTCATCGACTATTCAAGCTGCCAGCTATTCGATCTCCTCTATGACCATCTTCCTCTGACCCTCCCCATTAGCAGTCTGAGGCTGGACGTTGAGCCCTCGGAGGTTTCCTTCTAGCCCAAGATCCGGTCCCAGCCTCAGGCCTTCATCTCTAATCTTATACAGCTTCTTCATTCTCATCGTTTGGAGACCCTCCACAACGTTCGTAGCATGGTCTCTTACGAGCTCGTCTGCGTCCTCATCACTAACCCATTTCACCACTCGCTCGACCTCTTCCTGCTGCTTCAAGTTCAGACCCACCGCGCTTTCCTGTCCACTCTCGATCCCTGCGTCAATGGCGCGCAGCAAGCCCATCACGACGAGCGCAGCCGAGCGGCGCAACAACGCCTTTGACTCGTCTCGTTCCATGGCAAGAACTAACAACACCATCTGCAATGTCGCATCGACAACAGGCTGACGCAGAACGTTCAATCGATGTTCCATGACAGTAGAAAGCACGCTAAGAGCAGAAGCGCGGATACGAACGTCTTCCTCGATACCAGTGTCCTCCCATCCACCGACAATTTTCTGTAGTGCTTCATACTCCGCTTGTACCTGCGGATCTGCGCCCTCGGGCTCGAGAACATTGGGTATGGGTCCACCCCAAGCAGCTTCGCCTTCCTCTCGAAGCTTTCGTTCACTATCCGCGAGTTCGTTACGTGCCGACAATGTCTGTGTCCGTTGACCACGCCGACTCGCCAACGAAAGGCAAGCTTCCGTGGTTTGCTTTGCGCATCGATGCTGTAGCGCGCTATGCTCAGATGAAGCCCAAAAGTCGTCTTCTCCGACAAAGTTATTCAGCACTTCTCCGACCCGTAGCCTAAAGTCCAGAGCATTTCTCAGCTCCCGCTCTTTCTCGTCGGTCTGCTTCCCCCGCGTTAGCTTCAGTGATCGCTCGTCTATGTCGATAAACGCGTCGACTAGTATGCCGACCACGGGCTTTGGGACGCGTGTGGCCAAAGTGACAAGGACGGGTATGGCGGCTAAGTGGACGTAGGACTCTGGGTCTGCGAGTGAAGCTGATAGGAGAGTATGCGCGAGAGATGGTACGTCGATAGCCGGAAACGCGGTGGAGCTATTCAGAAGCTTATGAATTGTGTTCAACGCCCAAGTTCGGTTAGGCGGATCCGGTGACTGCAGCTCGGCGAAGCAAGTCTGCAAGGTTTTGCGATGTTCGTTCAGTGGATCGGTTGCTAATCTCTCTGTCGACGACGGCGTTGTCGGGGTGGGAGCGATAAGGTGGAGAGCTGTAGCGGCAGAATTGCTGATGACAGATGATGTGGCTGACTGCGACTGCGAAAGGTATGCTAGCGATGGGAGAAGTGCATGCAGAGTTTCGGTCACTGAGGGCGTCTTCTTGAGATCCGACGATGCAAGCAGTGTGTTAAGGATACTTAATGCGAACGACACCAAGTCTTCGTCTCTGGCCTCAATCTCTTCACTCTCTTTCGTCATGTCTTGTTTCCGTACAATGTTGTCGAGCATTGCCCTCTTCGATGTACGTAGTTTCTCTGACTTAGCTTTCCGAGTTTTGTGCTCGCTCACGTAGTTCTGAATTAGCTGTGCGACGAGATCGACGATATGCTGTGGACTTCTGGCAAAGTGCTCCTGGAAACGCTGTGCTAAAGCTTCCGATAACTTCGCGTCAACAAGCGCTGAAAGAGGATCGGCTTCGTTATCGTCGTCGGTGAGCGACTTAGTCACAGGTTTCTCCGGTACGAGCCACCGTTTTGTGGCGTTCACGAAGATGGAGCCCGCTGTGTCGTTGGCGATGTTGGCTTCTGTCAAGAGGGTAATGAGAACAGTGACTCTATTGTCCAAGTCGCTAATGCGTCCGAAGATACCTTCCATCGTTCCTATTCCTCCACTCTTATCTGTCGTACGGGTGCGAATCTCGACACCGCCTTGAGATCCAGGCCCGAATGTCCAGTCTCCATCGCCATCCCAGAAGAGGTTCGTCGCGATATTGTCGATCTGTTTGGTGTCGCAGGCAACCTCCATGTAACGCGAAAGATTGAGACTTGGGAGCATGCTCCATTCTTTGTCTAGAGAGGGTCTATCTTTTGCGTAGTTGAGCAACGCCCAAAGCGGAAGTATGATGGGATGAGTGAGACGACGGATCAGTCCGCCATGAGAATACGATGAAAGAATCGTCTTCAGTCTTCTGAGCGCCGTCTTGAGTTCCTCTTCCGACACAACGGTCTGCTCAGACTTCGATGCGCTGACATTCTTTGGGTAGATTGCTTGGAACAAGGGCTTCGCAAACGTGTCCCATCCCATGGTTCCCGGTGCGCCGGTCGTCTTCTTACTGAGAATGCCACCAGCAATGATCTGCCCAGCGGCTCGACTGAGCTCTTTGCCCTCGCTACCATCTAGGAGATGCAATAGCTGGGGAGAAATCCTCACGAGCCATTCGTCCTGACTGATCCCGCTCGGTGGTAGAACCAGTAGCTTCGAAGCTTGCGAAACAGCCTCTAGTGGTATTGGTATCTGCGATTGAGAGCCCGATGCGCTCTGAGGTACGTGAGAGTTCTTCGATAAGTAGGACAGCGAAAGAAACTCGATGGTGTGGCGAACGCCTTGGGTCCGGAGGGGTACCAACGAGAGCTCTGAGGATATGACAGGTTTGAGCCAGGTAGGAAGAGGCTGCTGGAGGAACGTAGTCAAGATAGGAAGAAGTCGTGATGTTGGAGTGTCCTTCATGATCTGTTCGTATGTTTTCGAATACCTTGACTTCGCTGTCTCAGACGACGTAGGAGAGTAGGAGAGCTCCGCCACAGCAGAGATGATGTCCGGGAGAACTCTCTGGGATAGAAGTGGTTGTACACCCGAGCCCTTCTGCTCCACAATAGACAGCAAGGCTTCAATGACGGCCCCTAACGCGTCCATATCGTGATTTGGAGGCGTGAAGATTACAGCGGTCAGGACCGACCTTGGCCGTTGGCTGAATGCAACACCAGGAGACAAACGTGGGATTACTGCGAGAATAGTGATGAGATCTACAAGACCGTACACCACACCGGCGAGGGAAGCATCGTAGGGTGCATTTGGATCTGCGGCTAGGTCTGCAGTGTTTATGGCCTGGAGATGGACGAGCGCTTGTTCGACGAGAGTATCGGTAGGCACGTCGGCACTGTATTTGCGGTCCTTATCGACAAATGGGCCGATGAAGTTGGCTGCCGCATCCACTGCATCTTCGACCGCTCCCATCGTGCTTAGCGAGGCCGCGAAGCTGGGCGCGAAGCGCAAAGCGCTGAGCGCGGCTGTGGGTATAGTGATGGTTGTCTTGCCGGAGCGTGTTGCTCACGATAGATGTGCGTGATCCACCAAGAAAGCTCTATATAGTCCAACGTTGTTCTCTAGATTTCAGAGAATTCGCCATTTATTGTTACGTGAGATGATGCGATGGAAAATGGCAACGGGCAGGCGGAGAAGGATATTGCTGATTTGTCAGAGAAGGATGGGTCTCACGTGCTAGCGTCAATTCGACGCGAGGCAGGCACGATCTCTTGGCGCGAGGCGACGCGTCTTCGCCCTGCTCCTGCCGACATGAATCCAACAACCACCCCGACGTACCCATCGCCACACGACGTTCATCTCTATTCAAACGCTACAACTTCTCATCGCGTCTCGATTGGATCCTGATTTATGCACGCGTCACCAACATCGTCTGACCATGTCAATCGCGGCGGGACTGTCGCGCAACGCTCCCTTTGGACACAACTTCTTCTCTCGATTGCTTGCAAGCACCCCACAAGTCACTTCCCCC